GGGGCAGCCACAAGAAAGAGAGGAAAAAGGGTGCCACTGAACAACTGAGCTATAGTTAGAACCTTGCCTATCGAGGTTTCGCTCGAAGCGGGTTGCACACTGTAAAATAGGGGCCCATGCAGTGTCCCTTTCTGTTGGGAAATGGGTTCCCACCCTTGCGGAATCTGGACATGTGCTGGGATTATTGGGAAACTAAAGGAAACCAAATATATCATATCTAGGCCTTCCCTGGGCACTTGTTTTTGCATTTTGTCCGTGTCGAGAAAAACAACTCATTTCACCCAAAAACACTCAAATAGAAAAAACAGCACTGGTGTGTGTGTGTGTGTGTCCGCCAATTCCCGCTGATGTCCTGCTGATGTCCGCTCATTTCTCGCCGATTTCCGCTATTTCCGGGACACGACTGCCATCATTCCAAATCAAGGTTTCCGCTCCTGTCATGTTTTTCGCTGAACATCTGAAACGAGCAAACAAAATGCTCTGAGTTGGACCCCATTCAGAGGGGAGATGAAATGGGGACCCATGACAGGAATCCCAGCAGTCAGACTGGGCTTCCAAGGGAGAGCCCTAATTTCCGACGCGGATCGATGATGCCGGCGATGCGGCAGCTCAGAAGTCCAGTCATCTCTCCCATCAGCGCCTCCCCAGACTCCTGGCTCCGAAATGTTCGAAGACGGCAAGCCATCAACAACTATTGACTAGGTCCTCCAGTAGAGAGGCTAGAATAAGGGTACCAACTTTTTCTGTAGTCTATTTTATTCAATTTTAGCAGGACCCTCCCCAAAAACAGGGTAAAAGGCCACGACTGGGGGACCTAGTTGATATGAACAACTATTGATATGGCCATGGGTCATAACCTACGCCGAACCATTTTGGGGCGGATGAACACCCCTGCACCAACCTATTTTGATGTTCACCAGGGGTACAGGGTTTTGACTCACAGCCATATGCAGGTGTGCACCTCTAAGCCCGAAATGCAAGTTTGCCATGGCCAACCAACCAACCCCCAACAAACACTCCCACAACTCGCGACCAAATGGAAGTGGGTCAACAATAGGTATCCGAAACGGAACCCTGGCAAATGGGATTGTGGCATAAAATTCCTGCGGTCCAATTCCTGGTGGTGACTAATTTTGACCCATACCCAAATGGTTTCAACCGAACCAACGGGCATGTTTTACAGCCACTGCGGCCAGGCAACGGCGCTTGAACCCGCCCGCCCGAACCGCTCCTTTCTGTGTGTTTTGGTTGCCACAGACGACCAGCCTCTTGTTTCGCCCCCAAACCTTTTCCGTGATACCAAATAGGCTGATGTCCATGACTGCTTTGTCACCTTAGAGCAGATTCCCCAGTATCACAAAACGTCGCAACTTAAAAACCGAACCCGACGGGACGCTTCCGCCCGTCCTCCAGCGCCCGGCTCCTCTCTGCTTGGCCCATGGAACAAAGCACGAAGAGCTGAAGGGCCAGCTGGGCGAGCTTGCAAGACCTCTGGTCTCGACAAGCCAAAAATACGGCAATAGAGAAAAGAGTGAACCAAAGGGAAAGCAGCCGTTTTGCTGGCTTCTATCTGTTTCCTGAAAACACAGAACAAAAGACATATCCACCGCCCTTTGGAGCGTCCTTTCGGAGGAAATCGAGAAACACACTCGGGCTATGGTCGATGACCAACTCGTGGGACCCGAAAAATGGACATGGGACGAAGCTGAGGCGATGGCTTTTCCTGAGCCAAGGTGCCAAAAAACTGCATTCATCTGTTAGGTATGTGTGAAAGTAGGGATTTGGACTGCCAAACATATGGGTGTGATGCTCCTTTTGGTTCTCTTTAAGGAGTCTCAAAAAAAACACACACACAGACAAACCCAGGTCCTTTGGTTGCAAGTGAGTCTTTAGAGGCAACTTGCAAACACGGGGCCTGCAAGCATTTTCTCCAACAAGTCACCTCGCTTGAGTCGTAATCAAAACCTGGTACTAAAATGCATGTAAAGAAATAACAGGGCGGAGGCATCCTTTTATGGCTGGGACCATCCCTTACTAAGCTTCGTCTACCCGTCTTTTGCTTGTGGCTCACTTTAAGGAACATGTTTCGTCTTGCAACCGAAAACCATCATCAAGCAAACATATGGTCGGAACCCTGAAACTCGAGATGAACAGATTGCCTGTTGGGTCGAAACTCTACGAGTCCTTCACCTTTCGGGGTTGGCATGGCCGCAGCCAAGGCTTTCATCTTGGCTTCCTTGAAGGTGCCTGGTGACATTTCCTACCGCCAAAACTGACCCCAGCTTGCCCAAGTCGCCCAAGTGGTCGGTTAAAGGGAAACTCCAGACGCCGATCTTCCCTGGAAACAGCTGGAACCCAGCAAAGTGGGTCGTTTCGGCTTTGGTTCACTTTCATTCGACATCCCAAACCAGGGGGTGGTCGACCTTTGGCAGCTCCCCAAAAAGGCATCTAGGCCTGCGGCGGAAAGCCGCCAGCAACGGCCTGCTCAGCCGCTGGCATCACATCCTGCAAGGCTTGCAAGTCATGTCGAGGGTCATAACCAACAACGTCACTTCCTGCCATAGTCAGAAAAAGGTAGTGGTAGCCTCACCACAATCTGGGAATTTGGGCGGCCAGGGCCTTTTGGGTTCCATGAACCAGGGGGTCAAATCCCATCTACAACCCACCCTCCCCCCCCCCCGGACGCGGGACCGACCCCGACGCCTGGGGCTTCAGCTCCAGCTCAGCCAGCTGTGGCCAGAAGGCCCAGACCCGCAGCGCCCAGCGCACCTGAAACAGTTTGGCTTCCCGCCCCCGCGGCGCGGGGTGGTGCAACATGGATCCCCTTTTTCGGGGTAAACGACCGGGAACAATCAAGGGAAACATAACAAAAACAAACAACTAGGGGGGGTGATTCAAATGGGTATTTTTTTTCTTTTGGGAGGGTACCCTTTTTGAGGTGAAGGAAAACTAATTCACGAACTAAGGGTATACCGTGTTCCATTGTTTTGGGGTTTTTTGAAAGGAAAAACGAAAGGGAACAATGACCACCACCCTTTTTAGGGGTCCCCTATTCTAGGACACACCGAAATGCTCATCTACTACCACCAAGAACTTTGGCTTTGTGCCTGTTGCGGCACCAAGTTGGGAAACACATGCAGTCGAGACTCTGCACATCTGGGCCATGGTCATGTCTTCCTTGCCAAGGTTGATGACCATCCCTATACCAGATGTGGGTCACAAATAGGAAAGTAAAGCTCAGTTGCCCCAAGGACCCAGAAATAAAAGGTTAACCTGCGACCAATGGGCCAATGACTATGGACCAAAATGGCCAAACCAAAAGGTCAGATCCGCTCGATTCGCTTTGAACAACTGAGACAGGCACCGGGCTTTGGACAATCTCTCTGCCCAGTGGATTTCCCATGAAAAAAAAAGGAATCGGCATCCTTTTTGTTGCTTGGTTGACTTGAAGGGAATCGGAACCCAGCCCGAAACCCCCCAAAAACAAGAGAGTCGGCACCACCGAGCCGGGATCTGGCTCCAACCTCCCCGCAACGACCGCACGCTGAACGGCCCGCGGGCCTTGGGCCACTCACCTCGGCACTCGCAGCTCGCCAGCGCCAAGGGCAGCAGGGCCAAGACCCGCGCCAAAGCCATGGCTTTGGACGCGGCGAATTCGCCAGACGCGCTGGAAAAAATGGTGTCTTCCTGCGATGTTGAGCGTTTCAGAAGTTGGTATTCTTGCAATCCATGCGTGGGAGGTTTTGGGACTTGGTGCCCCTTTTGGTTGGTGCCTTTTGGGCTACCGAAAAGCAGACGCTGGCAGATCTTCGGCTTTGGGATCCGCCCGAAACACAGGACTCGTCTCGTCTGATGTCCAAAGCCCGGACAGAACTTAGCTGCATCTCTGGCAAGGGACACTTTTGGAATGGGGAGATATGACTAAAGGGAGATTCCCCGAAAGCTCCATGACATGCCTCAAAGTTGGCGCAAGAAACGTGCCGGTGGCGATTGCACTGCTGCAACGCGGAAAACCCAGTTTAGCCATCTTTTTGGGCAGTCTACAAATCAATGAAATATGTTTAGCCAGTGACTTTGATCCAAGACCTCTACCAGACCCACCCTTGGGCCCGGCAATGGCTGCGTTAATCCTCCAACTGCCGCGGCGCGCGGGGTATTCGGCGCTTGCCCTGCACATGTTGCCAAATGGGCAAAAGCAAAAAGAGGGCGTTGAGGCACCTCCTGGATTCTAAACGGGAAGCCGTTGCCCCATTTCAGAATAGATGAACCTCCCCTTCTGCTAAAACAGTCGGCTGTGGGTCAAAACCGTTATGGGATCCCATTTTGGTTGGTATGTGAATTCACCACCCATTTTAGAACCTATTTTAGTGGTTGGATTGGGATGTTCACTGGGGGTGCGATTTGGATTTTGACCCGTGGCCACTTATGTCTGTGGCTGGAAGGGGCCAAGCCTCCATGAAACAAACTCTGCCTCAATCTGCCTGGAAGCCTCACAGTCCTCACTTCAGTCAAAGAGCCTGAGAACTCAAACCTGGGTTGCTTTCTGCTCCCCTGCTAAAAGCGTTTAACCTTTAGTGGTTTGATGGAAAACCCATGAGTTGCCAAGAAGCCATAAAGTCCTAACATCCCTTGGCAAAATGCACCAAAGAAACCTTTCGAAGTCTGAGAGCAACCCCTGCCTTCCAAGCCACGGCGACAAGAAAAATAGATCCCACTGGTGGCATAGATGCATCCGACTGGCCGGCAAACTGAAACCCATGGGATCTATCTCAGACCACCCTCCCAACAAAATCAACCCAAGAGATCCTTGTCACAGGAGCTGGTTTTCCGACATGTCCCTTCATGGGAGAGACGGTATGTTCTACACCTGTGACGGGGCTTTCAGGGTGTTCGGGGTTGGTTTAATGTTTTCAGGAACACCAACAAAAAAGCACTGAATTGTGGGGTCCCCCTATTTTGACACATACCAATCTTTCGCGGCAAGTGCAGAGCATGCGCACGCTGATGGTCGAGCAGCAATTCCTCAGTCCAGCGCGCATGGCAGGTGTGAACCCCATTTTGATGGCTTCAAATTGGGCAAACAACGGTCGCCCCGCCAGACGCTAAACGGTTGGGAGTTCTGCAGAAGCCCGCGGTCGAGTAAGGACGCGGAGCACAAAAAGAAGCAGTTGGCTTTTGACCCCCTTCCCTCCCCGGCCGTTTTGCAGATGGTTTACACGGCATGTGAAGTTGGGCGCCCTGTCACTGTTGGACGTATAGATTCGCTATGGAACCAAGTAAAGGGGTCTGCCCAAAATCATACGATCCAAACCATCGATCTTGTCCCTTAACCTTCACCCTGTTGATTCCTCCGGGAGTGGTGCTGTGAGATTTGGGTGTGGCTCAAAATTAAACAGGGCTCAGGTTTTGGTCCGTGTGTCCACAGGGCCCCCCATTTTGGAATTCCGGTTTCTTGAGCCACAGCCATTTGGCCAACCTTTGCCTTCCCCTGTGTGCCAAGTCTCGGAATCTTCAAGGACTTGGAGATGTGGATGCCGCCACTGGGCGCGAGTCATGTGCTGTGTCGGTCACATGTGCCATGCTCGAAAAACTCCGGATATGGCTGTGGCTCAAAAAACCAGTACCCAAAAAGGGTTGCCCTGGCAAGTGGAAACATGGACCAAAACCTGCGTAACCCCTCCTGTTTAAGTTTGAGCAACACCCATATGGATTATGGTCACGGTTCCCTGTGTCAAAATTCCATACTAAACGGTGGTTCCCTTGATAGACAGCTTCACAATGGTTGTCTAAATGCCATACATTTTGCCTGGCAATTCCTTTTACATGCCTAAGTCTCAAAAACCTCCATCGCCCGTTCCGAAGAAGGTTCTGGTCTTCCAGACTGGTCTGAAACTGACATACAAGACAGTAGAACAGGTAGTCTCCAGGAGCTTAACATTAGCCTCTCTACCAAAACTTGCCGGGGTCAGGTCTCCTTGGGTGGACTCCTTATGCTTAAAAGACCTAAGAGAGGGATGCGCAAATCTACGTCATCTGTTGCCTCCAATCAAGCAGAATGACTTCCGCATGGTCCATCGATGTCCAGTCGTGGCAACCAGCCCCCCCCCCAATTGGTTGCGGCAAGATAGCGGCAAGGAGGAAGGATTTGGCAGCATGGGACTGGATCCTGCTCGTCAAAACTCCCATCCCAAGCAATCACATGGCCGTGAATAAAATTGTAGACCCCTTGGTGGACCTGTGAAATTTTCATGTCCGACTTACCAACTTTGGAGTTTTCCCCGGTAAACCTCATGGCTGTGGGTCAAAACCAATGCCATTTTGGGACCCATTTTAGAACCTAGTGGTTGAATTGATCAGTTCACTGGGGGTCCGGGCTTTTGACCCATGGCCTCCTAGCCAAAACGGGGGGGGGGGGGCATGGACACCTAGAGTCTATTGCAACCATACCCTAAAAAACCAACACCCTAAAAGAAGGAGGTTGACAAAAAAGACCCTAAGTGTCCACCGTACGGGAGGGGGGCTCCCGCCGTGTTTTTTCCACAGGTCGAGCTGTGCCCCGGGCTGTCGCTTCGAGGCGACGCTGCCATACCTGCTGAAGGAGGACACCACCTGGGGTTCCGGGGGCGCGTTTTCCGGAAACCGCAAAGAGCCTGGGTCCTGGAAGGGTGTTCCCGGAAAGGACACCGGGAACGCTGTTCTTGAGCGGCCTGAGGGTTGTGGAAAACTTGGGCGAGTTCCCCCCCTTTCCGAAATTGATCATGGACTGGAGCATGACAAGATCTTGAATGGATACAAGGAAACTCAAGGAAAGCCGACCCAAGCGATCCCCTTGTGCGGAGCAAGAAATCATCTGTCAGGAGATCCCATAGTCAGCACTCGGGCCATCACAATCAGCCGGGGTGTGTGGGCCCATTGCCAGTGACATCCTCAACTGCCCATCCGGTGCCTAAATGATCTCAGCCTCATGGGGGTGAAAGGCGCGGAACCCCCAATCTTTGCCCGGTGTTGAGGGACGCCAACCATTTTCAGATCAACATGTAAATTAGAGAGCCTCGAAGTCTTCACTTGAGTGAACTGAGGAAACAGTGCATGGCAGCAACTGAGCACCGGACAGGTACTTTGTTTTGGCTCGACAGGCACAAACCGCGGACAATAGTCACACCGGCAATGGGCAAACCCAAACCCCTGACGTGCATCTTGGATGCCGTGGAGTCTAGGAGTGCCCGCCGTGAAAAACAATGAGACATACATTCCCAGTCGTGCGCTCATGGGTATGTCTCCTCCAGGTAGCTTCTTGTGGGGGCCGAACTGCCATTGAGCATCAAACTCCGATCCCCTTGTGATTTGCCTTCAAGGAAAGCAACAAACAACCTATTGAGGGCTCCCGGATTTGGAGACAAACACATGCAGCATCATGCAACCCGATCTCTCACCAGCATGATTCAGGCATCAGTCTTCAGCATAACCTTTCTCTGTCTTGTCCGCCGCCCAACAGCTGTTCGCAATCTTCTCCTCGGGCGCATCCGCCCGAGCTGCAGAGGCCTCATCTAGCCTCTCGTGCAGCTCGTTGTTGAATGCCTTCTCGAGCTTCAACATGTCCTTAGCTCTGAAGCTCCAAGGGAACTCAGCAAGGAAACCCCGACAAACCCCGCCAAGAAGAAGCACGCGGGTTTCGAGCGCGCTTTGTACCCAAGCAAAGCGGTTTCTTCGCAGCTATCCAAAACGTTCAAAATTGCCAATGATCAGAAGATTAATGCGCATAGTTACAATAAATGGCTCTGCGCAGTTCCGACAAGTTTTGCACATCAACTACTCGCAAAAGTTCTCAGCTGTTCATGATTCTGGCAGTGTCGCGCGCGGACCGCAAAAGAGTAGCAAAAGTCCTCTGATTTTGCACATCAACCAGGCACAGGGTGACGTGGGTGCAGCCAGAACAAGGTCAAAGTCCACAGTTTGTTCACCTCGCCACGTCGAGGACAAAACTCCTATGCCCTGGTTTGTCAAGATCGGCGATCCCGTGCGAGGACAAAACTCCTATGCCCTGGCGCCCAAGCAAGCGAACCTAACTTACACAGCTGCCAACGCCGAGGCGCCACGCAAGCTGGTCCAAGCTCCGGACCCCAGCTCCCGACCCCATACGAGCGCACACACACTCAGTGCAAGCCTCTCTGCACAGGTTGCGGTGTGCAAGTGTCTCCGTGCAAGTTTCTCTGTGCAATTGCTCTGCGCGAGTCGCTCCGTGCACTGTGCAAGCAAGCTGCTCTGCACAAGTTGCTCGGTGCAAGTTAGTCCAAGGGCTCGATGCTTTCGGGAACAAAGTCATCATCGTGTGGCCACATTGTTTGACACATGTTACTCACAAGTAAAAGATCGCAACCAATGTGCGGTCATCTCTATCTTGCTTCTCTCCAACATACTACTTGCAAATTCCCGTTTTTCAACACGACGCATCCTTAAACGGCAGACTTCTAGAATGTTGAAATGTGAGACACAACAAGCACGCTTCCAAACGCGCAAACAGTGCAAGCCAGTCCGATGCTCGTCGCAAGCCAATCTGATGCTCTCCACAACCCAGTCTGAAAAGGAACAAGTCAGTCTGAGACTTCACAGCCTTCACAAGCCAGTTTGACTGCAGATTGAGTAGCGAAGCCCAGTGGCCATGGTTCAAAAGAGCACCCTTTCTGAGCTGGTTTGAACAGCAAGACCACTCACCACTCCCCCAAAATGAAAAAGGAAAACCCTTGAGGAAGGAGGGGCGATCCTATGAGCTCCTTTTCCCCCCAAACCATCGAGGCTCGTAGAAGGGCTTCGACTGCGGGCGCCCAAAAGGGTTGACGGTCTTCTCCCAGAAGGGATGGGACGGGAACTTGGCGCGGTTGAACTCGAAGAACCTTGGTTGCTAATTTAACCCCTGTGCAAAAAAGTGCATACCTGTTTGTGGGTGTGGAAAACAAACCACAGATTTCAACCAAACAAAATTAAAGTCTAAAGATCCAAGCCAGTCAAGGAACTCCAGGAAATCCAGGACCTTCCCCACACCAACCTGCGACTGCGCATCGGTTAACGCGTCAACCAAACGGGTTCGGACGCGCGGGACGCGCGACGGGTGGTAAAACACCTGCACCAAAAACTAGACGACGGGTGGCCCGGAAGCAATTCAACACGTTAAATCAACTCTGACGCCTCCCCCGCCTCCTCTGCAAGTTCTGATGAGCAAGCTTAGCATCATGCAATTTCTCGCTGATGCTGCGCGCGACGCTGTGCGCGGCGCCGTGCGTGATGCTGCACACGATGTTGCAAATCATGCTGCGCGTGACGCTGTGCGTGATGCTGCTCATGATGCTCTACAACACCTCTTGTCCACTCGTTGTGCCCGTTTCTTTTGTCAACCTCTCTTGTCCAACTCAGTGCGCAGTTTGGCTGCGCAAGAAGGCTTGTACTTCGCGCACTACTTTTGCGTGCGTAAGTTAAGATTTTCAAGCTGGAGATGCGCAAGTGCAACTGGGTGTTTCTTTGCGAGCTGGACATGGTGGAGTGCACTCTCCGAACATTACTTCTGCGCTTGAAAACTGTCGATTTTCAAGCTGGCTGCGAGAGCGCACCTCGCGCACGACCTTTGCGTGTAGAAACTCAGAGATGTTTCAGCCGGAGCTGCGGGATTGCACTGGCGCGCCACTTTTGCAGTTAAAAGTTGCGATTCTTGAGCCAGAGCCATGGGAGTGCGCTTTGCGGAGCTGCGGGAACGCACTTCGCGTACTACCTTTGCACCCAAAACTTGCAATTTTGCAGCCAGAACTGCGGCAGCACAGCACTATTTTCTTGTACTTGAGAATTGCCATTCTTGAGCCAAAGTCATGGGAATGCACTTCGCGCACTACTTTTGTACCTCAAACTTGCGAATCTCGAGCCAAAGCTGCGGAAGCGCTCTTCGTGTACTACTTGAATTTTGTACGTAAAAAATTGAAAATTTCGAGCTGGAGTTGCGGGAGTGCGCTTCGTGCACTACTTTTGTTAAACATTGCGATTTTGCAGTCGGAGCTCTGGGAGTGCTCCTTCGCGTACTACTTTTGCACTTTAAACTTGCAAGCTTTCAGCCGGAGCTGCGGAAGGTACTTCGCGTACTACTTTGTACCTAGAAGTTGCGAATTTTGTGCACTTTGCGTGCTACTTTTGCGCGTGCAATTTGCGAATTTCGAGCTGGAGTTGCGCTTCGTGTGCTATTTTTGTACTTAAACATTGCGACGCGTACTACTTTTGCGCTTTAAACTTGCAAGCTTTCAGCCGAAGCTGCGGGAATGTACTTCGCGCACTACCTTTGTACATTTCGAGCCAGAGCTGCAGGAGTGCGCTTCGCGTACTACCTTTGTACGTAGATGCAGCGATTGTGCAGCAGGAGCTGCGGGAGAGCACTTGGCGTACTACTTTTTTGCGCGTTCAAATTGCGAATTTCGAGCTGGAGTTGCGGGAGTGCGCTTCGTGTTCTACTTTTGTACTTAAACATTGCGAGGTTTGCAGTCGGAGCTCTGGGAGTGCTCTTCGCGTACTACTTTTGCACTTTAAACTTGCAAGCTTTCAACCGTAGCTGCGGGAATGTACTTCGCGCACTACCTTTGTACATTTCGAGCCGGAGCTGCAGGAGTGCGCTTCGCGTACTACTTTTTACGTAGATGGAGCGATTGTGCAGCAGGAGCTGCTGGAGTGCACTTTGCGTACTACTTTTGCACGTACAAATTGCGAATTTCGAGCTGGAGTTGCGGGAGTGCGCTTCGTGTTCTACTTTTGTACTTAAACATTGCGAGGTTTGCAGTCGGAGCTCTGGGAGTGCTCTTCGCGTACTACTTTTGCACTTTAAACTTGCAAGCTTTCAACCGTAGCTGCGGGAATGTACTTCGCGCACTACCTTTGTACATTTCGAGCCGGAGCTGCAGGAGTGCGCTTCGCGTACTACTTTTTACGTAGATGGAGCGATTGTGCAGCAGGAGCTGCTGGAGTGCACTTTGCGTACTACTTTTGCACGTACAAATTGCGAATTTCGAGCTGGAGTTGCGGGAGTGCGCTTCGTGTTCTACTTTTGTACTTAACAATTAGGATTTTGCAGTCGGAGCTCTGGGAGTGCTCTTCGCGTACTACTTTTGCACTTTAAACTTGCAAGCTTTCAGCCGTAGCTGCGGGAATGTACTTCGCGTACTACTTTTGTACTTAGAAGTTGCGAATTTTGCGCCGGCGCTGCAGGAGCGCGCTTCGCGTACTACTTTTTACGTAAATGGAGCGATTGTGCAGCAGGAGCTGCTGGAGTGCACTTTGCGTACTACTCTTGCGCGTTCAAATTGCGAATTTCGAGCTGGAGTTGCGGGAGTGCGCTTCGTGTTCTACTTTCGTACTTAAAAATTACGATTTTGCAGTCGGAGCTGTGGGAGTGCTCCTTCGCATACTACTTTTGCACTTTCAACTTGCAAGCCTTCAGCCGGAGCTGCGGGAATGTGCTTCGCGCACTACCTTTGTACATTTCGAGCCGGAGCTGCAGGAGTGCGCTTCGCGTACTACTTTTTACGTAGATGGAGCGGTTGTGCAGCAGGAGCTGCTGGAGTGCACTTTGCGTACTACTTTTG